GAAGAAACATGGACAATGGAAAAAAATCATGTAGCCAGGTGTGGTGGCGCACCCTGTAATCGCAGCACTCGGAAGGCTGAGGCAGGAGGATCGCTGTGAGTTCGAGACCAGCCTGGGCTACATAGTGAGTTCCAGGTCAGTCTCAACTACATAGTGAGCCCCTGTTTCAAAAACCAAAAAAAAAAAAAAAAGAAAGAAAGAAAGAAAAAAAAAATCATGTAAAATGACAACCCCTCTTCCCAAACCAAATTTTCTCTTTTCTAGTTTCTTGGTTTCCTGATCTGTGAAATGGGGATGATAAGAAGAGCTACGTCCTAGGGTTGGTGGGAAGTGAGCAGAAGCTGTAAAGCCTTCTGGAAGTAAGAGTTCTTTGCCTTCTGCAGCCTGGAGCCTACCCTTCCTTCCTTGTAGGTCTGAGACCAAGGGTGCAGTTCTCCCTCTCCATCTTGCTGTACAGGGACTGTGACCATAGCACCACATTTGTTGTTTAGAAACAAAGCTTGGCTGTGCTGCCTGGAACTGCTGGACAAAAACCTCCTGCCTCAGACTCCTGAGTAGCTGTGTTTCAGATTGTGAGAAAGTCTGTCTTCTCTCTCTATTTTTTTTTTTTTTTTTTTTTTTTTTTTTTTTTTGGTACTGGGGATCAAATTAGGACCTCACACTTGCCAGACAGGCGCTGTGTCACTGAGCTAAATCCCTGGCTATTTTCTCTTTTATTGCTTATACTGTTGGTGTCCATGTATGAAATCACTGCCTAATCCATTATCACAACGCCTTCTATCTTTTCTTCTAAGAATTTTATAGTTAAGCTCTCGCATTCAGATAATATGCTCCACTTTGAGTTTTTTTTTAATGCTTTTTAAAAAAGTTTTAACTGTGCCAGGTGTAGTGGTACATGCCTGTAATTCTAGAACTCAGGAAGGTGAGGCAGGAGGGTCCCCAGGAGTTGAAGGCCAGCCTAAACTACATAGTGAGACCTTATCTCAAGAAATAAAAATTTAAAAATCAATCAGCTGAGCATACAGAGGTCCACACTTGTAATCCCAGCATCTCTGGAGGTTGTGGGAGGAAGATCAAAAGCTGGAGGACAGGGCCGGGGATGTAGCTCAGCAGCACAGCATCTTCCTGGCAAACACGAGGCCCTGAGTTTGATTTCCAGTACCAAAAAAGAAAAGTGAAAAGAAAGTTCGAGGCCAGCTTGGGGAATTTAGTGAGAGCGTGCCTCAAAATAAAAAAAGGTGTGGGGCTGTAGCTCAGTAGAGAATGCTTGCCCTGGGCTCAAACCCCAGCGGCTCAGAAAATTTTTATATTCATGTATTTATTTATTTGGTACCGGATGTGAAACTTAGGACTTTGCACTTGCAAGGTAGGCCAAAAAAATTTAGTTTTTTGAATTGGGGCTGGAGATGTAGCTCAGTGGAAAAGTACTTGCCTACCATACCTGAAGCCCTGGATTCTGTCCCAGCATCACAAAAACAAAAACCAAAAATTCAGGTTTAGTGAGCTATAATTTACATTCTCAAGGAAACCTGTCAATTTTAAGTATACAGTTCAATTGGTTTCACTTTATCACTCTACATGTTTGGAATATTTAGGGAGTTAGGAAAAGGGGAAATGAGTGTGTGTCTTTTGTCCCTTCCCATGACCTAGAGCTTTGTGTGTAAGTGTATGTGTGAAACCATGCCTTTTCTTTTGCTTTTTTTTTCCCTGTCCTGGGGATTGAACCCAGGGACTCCATATGGAGTTACATTTCTAGCCCTTTCTTTCTTTTTCTTTTTCAAGATAGGATGTCCCTTTACAGGCCAGGCTGGCCTTGAACTCCCAGGGATCCTCCTGCCTGAGCTTCCAGAGTGCTGTGATTACAGGTACTCATTAGGCCTGGCTCCCGATATCATCATAAAGGGCTCCTAGTTCCTTTGTTTTCTCTTGCAGCCCCCATGGACTCATTCATGATATGTAGGCCAAACTGACTGAGTGAAGGAAAACATGCATGTGGTAGGGTGAGGTGACAGTCCTCTGATCCCTGCCTTCAGAGCCACCAACATCACATGGGTGCAGGTTGCATCTGCTACCCCAGTGTCCCCCAAAGATGTACATGGTTGGGATGGAGGTAGAGACTCCCCAGCTGCCCCCTACCTGGATGTGTCTGGGATTAGAGGCCTGTTTTCTCCTTCCCGATTCCTTTGTAAAGAGCCCTCATTTCAGGAGATGACAGCATGCTGTTGACTGGGCCTGGCTTCCGTGGCCCACGTTTTCTTAGCCTTCAACCCAGTGCCTCACCAGCCCTGGCCACTCCCAGCAGGGAAAGCAGGATGGGCTGATTCAGGGGGCAGCTGATGGGGCTCCTGGGAGTTACAGGAAGTCCTGGGAGCGGGGAGACTGCCTTTCCCAGCTCTGCGGGCTCAGCCCTCAGATCCAAGGTAGAACTAAAGGCGCCTTCAATACAACCCTTGCTACGTGCCAGACTCAGAATACACTTTATTGTTCATTTTATTATTTATTTATTTTTGGTTTTTGAGACAGGGTCTGGTTATGTATATAGGTCAGGCTAGTCTTGAACTCTGTTTGTTTGTTTGTTTGTTTGGTATCAGGAATCAAACTTGGAACCTTGTGCTTATGAGGCAGGCAGCAGAACCACTGAGCTAGATCCCTGGCCCTTGAACTCACTTTGTAATGCAGACTAGCTTCAAATTTGCAGTGAGTGATCCTCCTGCAACAGCCTCCTGAGTGCTGGAATTACAAGTGTGCACCACAATGCCTAGCTTCAGAACATACTTTAGATTCACAGCTGTCTAAGCATGTACCTCCAAAGTGGTGTTTTTTTTCCCTTTCTTTTCTTCTTTCTTGTTATTATCTTTTTGCGATACTGGGGATTGAACCCAGGGCTTTTGCACGGAGCTACATCTGAGCCTCTTATTTGTTTATTTTAATTTATTTATTTTTGGTACCGGGGATTGAACTCAGGCTCTTGCACTTGCAAAGCAGGCAGTGGAATCACTGAGCCAAATCACCGGCCCTGATTATTTTTATTTTAAAACAGGGGGTGGGCCAGGGATTTAGCTCAGTGGTGCCACACCTGGCTCTCATATGCAAGGTCCTGAGTTCAATACCCAGTGCCACAAAAAAAAAAAAAAAAAAAAAACAGGGTTTCACTAAGTTGATAAATTCCCCGGGCTGAGTTTGAACTTGTGATTCTCCTGCCTTATCCTCCCAGAGTGCTGGGATTACAAGTATATGTCACCATGCCAGGCCCCATGTTTTTTATAAGAATTTATTCAGGTTGGATTGGCAGTATAGTGCACGAGTAGAGCATTTGCTTAGCAAGTGAGGTGCCCTGGATTTGAGCCTGAGGACCAAAAGCAATAATAAAAACAAGTATCAAGGTCATACGCACACATGCCTGTTATTAAGCTGATGACTTTCCAAAGATGGTAGAGGCAAGACCCGAGGGAAAGGGAGCCACAGAGGGTTCCTGTTAAAGAGTGCATCCCTGTAGCTGGCCCCTTCTGTTGAGGCTACCCCAGAAGGAGTGGGGTGGGCTCAGATGCCCCCAGGCTCACAGAGGTGTTACCGAGCTATGGAGCTCCTGCCTCCAAGTAGTGAGGAGACTGAAGATAAACAAGTGTTTTCCTCCCTCCCCTTTTGGGACCATAAAAGCAGGGGCAGCAGCATTGGCACAGATCTCAGTCCCAAGTGCCGGGCCTTTCTCATTTCCAGCACCAAATCCGATAGGCTGTGGGCTCCAGCAATCTGTAAACCAGGACAAACCTGTGCCCACCTCCTCACAAGGTGGCTGACAGGGGGATGTGCTATGATGGGAATCAGAGCTTTCCTCAATTACCATCCAGGCACCTTCTTAATGGCCATCCCTACCTGTTCACAGAGCTGACCCAACTTTGTTCATTTCAGGAAACAAGTCATGCAATTCTACCAAAGAGAAATGGCTCTCCTAAGTCACCCCAAGGTGAGGGCCCTGCAAAGAATCCCTGATGATAGTGCAGATTTCTAGGACTCCCACTTTCCATTCAGGCAGAGGGATCTATTTTTAACCAGAGCTCCAAGAAATCTGACTCCACAATTGAGTGGAAGAACCAGTGTTTTATGGTCATGGGCAAACAGGGCATCTGGGACTAGGAAGAGAAACAAAGGAGATAACAACTCTCCAAAGGCCAGCTGGTGGGGTAGACCCAGGATTCAAGGGAGGGAGCAGGCCTTGGCCTGCATCTGGCCCAATTCCAACTTCTATGATAAGGAAATTGGGCCCCAGAGTGCAAGGAGCCTGCTCACCCAGGACACCTCCTACAGTTGTGTGTTGGGGGTTCTGCACCTGCCAGGGCCCCTCCCCTCTTGGGGGCCGGTGACACCCCTCTGAGCTGTGCTTCCGTCTAGGGAAAGGTTTGGGCTCAGTAGTCCTTCGCAGACTCCTCCTGGCCAGAGATCCCATCTGTAATTTCCACTGGACCAAAGAGAAGTGTGACTTTTCTCACAGGAGAAAGATCAAGCCTCTCCAGAGCCTTCTAACTTGGGCAGCCAGGTGAGCTCTCTGGAGAGACTCAGGCCTTGACTCACCGCCTCGGGTGCTTTCCAGCACAGTCTCTCAGCAAGTTCAGCTAAGGAAGCCAGGGTGCTTGGGCAGCCCACATACCTGTTACCAGGCTGGCAGGGAATTCTGGAAAGGGCCTGGGGAACACACAGGTGGATCCCAGAAGTGAAATGCAAACAGCACCTATGCCCTCACCTTCCTTTTCATTTCATGGAACCAATGAGACTCAACCGTTTTAACAAACACGTTTATTAGAAAAGTAAAAAATATTGCATAGGTCTTAATACTTGAACATCAAGTGTATTTATGAACAGTGAGTATCTTCAATGTAAACAACAGTTCTAAATGGAAGACCGGATGGCACTCTTTTGGGGAAGGGGTTCCAGCCCCCAGCCCCACTGAGCCTCACCCCTCACAGTTCAGTTCTCCAGGACACGGTGGGGGACAGGTTTGGACTGGACGCAGCTCCCAGGTGTATTTTGTCTTCAAGTGTCAAAGATCCTGAGGGATCCTAACACCCACCCCTTTCAACTCTTACATTCATGCGTCTGTAAGATAGCTGCCTAGAACAGGTCAGTAGTGAAGCTCCGATCCGAAAAACAAGATACAAAACAAACAACAAACATACTGGGTCCCTCCAGACCTGGATACACAAACTACCTCAGCACCTCCCCCCTCCCTCCTGGGGGCTACCATAAGCACACACCCCTGGCTGAGGCCAGCGCAGCCCAGCAGCCCTCCTAGCTGCCACCCCACTGTCGTAACTGTCAGGGATAATAAAAATAATACGGTACATGCTACATACGCATCCAGCTGGAAGCCTGGGGACCCCAAGCCTTTGTTTCATGCTACAGTACTGAGGGGCATGCGCCCCGAAGGGGACCCACCTGCACACAACTCAGTGAGCTTCCTAGGAAACACTATGCTCCCCCACTGCAACCTCCTCCTTTGGGGGCTATTGTCAGTTTTCTAACACAGGCGTCCGCCCCCGTGGCCCTGCCTGCTAAGTCTCCACCCCAAAAGTTCACTGTCTGCCATGGGGGCGGTGTGACCCCCCGGGCTGGAGCTCAACACTCCTCAATGAGCAGCTGCTCGGAGCTGTACAGCTTCTTCTTGATGACTCTGAAGCCGGTGCCCAGTGTTAGGGACTGGCTGAAGCCAGGGACGAAAGGAGAGTTGGCCGAGCTGAACAGCCCTTGGATCTTGGGCCACAGGCGAGAGTCCAGGCGCAACACCAAGGTGAGCTGGAAGGTGGGCACCAGGCAGGGGTCGAGGGCCAGCTGGCCCACGCTGTGGCAGCTCTTGCCCTGCTCTACGCAGACGTCGAGCAGCGCCCCCCGCAGGCCGCACGGCTCGCTGTAGGCCAGGCGTAGCAGTTCTTTGCCCACCTGGCTCACCAGCTGGGCTGGCATCAGCAGGCGCGCGGGGCGGCGAGAGCCCAGTCGCGCCTGGGACAGGCTCTCCTGGAGCAGCTGCATGAGGCTGGCACACAGGTGCTCATCCTCGGGGTCGCTGAGCAGCTCGAAGTCGGGCAGGGACACGCCATCCAAGCAGGCCGAGTCTAGAAGGAGGGAACACGGGAAGGGTATCAGAGCAGCCTCCACAGGGGGTCTACAGACGGGGGAGGTGCCGTGTGCTAAGAAAGCAACGCTCCTTCCTGTACCGTGCCTGAGTTTCCACCCCTCGCCCCCTGGCAATCTGGGTTCTGTTGTGACAGGAAGCCAAATGGCTGGACCCCTTCTAACGCAGCGCTTTCTCGTCTCCACGACCCGTGAAGCCGTTTTCGGATCCTGCCCACAGCCCTCACCTTCCTCCTGCCCGAAGCCGCTGTTGCTGCTGTCCAGGGACTCGCAGTCCGAGCTCTCCAGGCTCGCGCAGCGGTCCAGCCCTTCCTCTCGGGCTGCCGACCCCCAGGCCGAGCGCGGCGGCCGATCCGGGGTGGGCGCCCGAGACGAAGACGAAGACGAGGCCGACGAGAAGCGGTCCCAAAGGTTAGGCATGGTGAGGTCCGAAGCCAGGACGTTCGTCGGTGAGCTCAAGGGTGCCGGAGCGCAGAAGCTACTGAAAGACAAGAGGGACACGGAACCAGCGTCAGTCTAGAGCGTGGACAAGACCGCGAGCTCTAGGACCCGTACAGCCGAGGCCGCCAACGCAGAGATCAGCAGGCAAGCAAGGGACACTCACCAGCTAGGGCGGTCAGCGAGAACTGCTGGGACAAGTGAGTCCTGCCGCTTGAATGGGTGCGCGAACTGATGCCAACCACCTAGCTCTGCCCAGACCTGTCCCTTTTAGCCTCTCGCACCTCCCCCTTGGCCTGCTGAGATCCCTAGCACCAGCGCACAGCAGCCTATAAGGACTAGGGCATCTAAGCCACGCCCTCCTTGCCCCCGGGCCCAATCCAGACGTAGGAGTGTGGCCCACCTCGACCAATGAGCTCCAAGCGCACGTTCGCAACGTTCTCTCCTGCCCGGTGACAGCGGCCCGGCCCCGCCCCCACGGAGCCCCACAACTCTCCCGGCCGAACCCCGAGCCTCAGCCACGCCCCCTTTCTGGAAGGGATCGGTGGCGGCTGCAGCTGCCAAGGTCCCCGAGGGCTCTCGCGGCAGGGGAGGATCAAGGAAAGACTTGTTTATTATAGGGTCGCGTTGCGGGGGGAGGGGTACAGCCCGTGACCGCGCTGGCTGGGGAGGCTGGGAAACTTGAGGGGCGGTGGGGAGGGAGGACAGTGACTCTCAGCGATTGAGATCCCAAGGGCTAAGGACACAGCGGGGCACACGGGAGGATGCTCTGGGACTGCGGCGCGGGGGCGACGTTGACCCCGTCAGCCTCGCGCCCCGCGCTGTCCCTGCCTGGTGGAGGCTGGGCTGTGGGGGTGGGGTCTGAAGCCTGTGTGCGCCCCCTGCCCGGGTCCCGCCTGCCTGTGACTCCGCACCCCCGGGGAATGGATTCTCAGGATCCCTGTCCCCCACCCCACAAGCCCAGTCCCCAAGCCCTATCCGGCCACCCCCCCACACACAGCTGTGCTTGGTTGGTGCCTAGAGGGGTGCTCACACCCCCGGCTCACAGTACCCAAGGTCCGCCCGGCCCAGGGCGCCTCCCGCTGGCCCCGGGGACGGCCGCACGCAGCCCACTTGTCACGGGGCGTCCGCCGGGTCCTAGAACCCTTCCCCACTCTTTGTATGAAAGCTCCAGCGATCCTCGGGACCGAGGGCCGAGCTCTCCGTAAAAGCCCCGTAGTGCAATGGCCATTGTAGGTTTCGTCATCCAGGCGGGGCCGCAGGAAATCTGGCCCGGCAGCGGTGTTGCAGGGCTGATAGAGGTGGCTGAGGGTGGGAGGAGACTGGGATTGACTGGACCTTTATTTCTTTAAAGGGTTATCAATCTGGGACAGACGGCTCTGATGGAAGAGAGAACCAAACTTACATCAGACACTTGACCCCTTGGCCAGGAGCCAAACCAGATCAGCCAGACGAGCCTCCCCCAGGGCAGGCTTGTACATGACAGGTGACACTTGCCTGAGAAGTCAGGCCACTGCCGTCTCCAGCCCCACATTCCCATCCTGATTTTTTGTTTTAAAGACCAATCTAGAGATCAGGCACGCAAATCAAGAATTAGAACCAGAAAGGGCCAGATTCCAAGCCCTGTACTCCTACTCCCATTTTACAGGTGGGAGAACCACACTGCTGGGGACAAATTTATGTCCCTCCCCCAGTCAGGGAATTCAGATTAGGAGGCATCTTCAGGACAACACAGACTAGAATACTGTGTCAGCCCTTGGGTGTTCAAGGTGGAACGCTGGCCTTTCCTTCCCACCCTTTAGGCTATGCCACCCGCTGGGAGCCTGAAAGACACTAAATCAAGGTGGTTCCATCAAGTGCTGGTGCAGGTGACAAGCCTCCTTTCAAATCATCTTTACTAAGGTGAGAAAAAGTTAGGGGTAACTGGACAGGAACATGTTCCTATTCCCTAGGAAAGACGGTGTTCACCGAGCCAGCTGGGTAGAGTAAGGGTGGCTTGCTTGGCTTCCCAGCTCAAGATTTGGAAGACCAGGGGTTTTATGCATGCTAGGCACACGCTGTGCCACTGTGCTACATTTCCATCCTTTTTCTTTCTTCCCCCACCCATTTTTCACAGGAAAAAAAAATTCTTAAAATGTGGAATGCTGACCCAAGAAAAAAAATTTTTTTTTTTGAGGGGGCTAATAGGGAGTGAACTCAGGTATCCCTCCCTGACTTAGTGAGGGTGTCTCACTAAGTTGCTAAGTTGCCCAGCCTGGGCTTAAAGTTGCTTTTGTGATCCTCTTGTCTCAGCCTCAGAGTTCTGAGACTATAGGCTTGTGCCGCTATGCCAGGAAAAGGGCCCCCAAGTAAGTGAACATTCATAAACAGAAGAATCCAGAGCCAGTTTGGAAAGGTCAGTTTATTAGGAATTATTTACTCATTCATCCAACAGACATCATCACGGACTATGTGCCTGGCAGTGTACCAAGCACCTTTTTTTCATTCTGTTTTACTAATGGCTTCTCCCCAATGGGAATGACTTGTGTTCATGAGCATTGAGTTAGTTTGTAAAATCCATTGTTTTTACTTATTGTGGTATTGGATATTGAACCTCCCAGCCCTTTAAAATTATTTTTAAAATTTTATACAAGGTCTAAATCTTGCTAAATCACAAAGTCTCTGAGGCTGACCTCAAACTTGGATCTTCCTTCTTCACCCTCCCAGATTAAAGGTGTGTGCTATCTTTTTCTTTTTTTTAAGTTTTTGAGAGTCTGTGTAGTCCAGGCTGGTCTTGAACTATGTAACCCACACTGGCCTTGTGGCAGTCCTACTGCCTTAGCCTCCCAAGTACTGGGATCACAGGAGTGCAGCAGCACACTTGGCCCATCCTTGTTTTTTAAAGGAATGAACAAAGGACAAGGGTCCTAGTCTGGCAGTGTTTCCCATTCCCAGAGTGGGGAAGAGTGGGTTCCAGCATCAACAGCCTCCTATAAGGAGGCGGGGTGGGGGGTGGGGGCTTGGGGGTTTTCCCATGTGATGCCCCTCTCACTGTGGAGCAGACAGATCTTTTATCACTGTCCCCCAGGAGAACTTTTGGGCCTTGAAGGGATGGTTCTTAATCTTTAGCCTAAGGAGCAGGAAAGGGTTTTGGTCCCTCCTGCCTAGCAGATGGGAGGACTTTGTAACCACATCACACACTTTCCTACAGGAGCATCCCTGCTAAACCAAGCTGTCCCCACCTCCCACTGCCCTCAGCCAGGCAGCAGGCTGGGCATGCTTGGACATGCATTCCCACTGCGGCCCCAGCCCAGTGACTTGTGGAAGGCACCCTTAGTCCTGCTTCGTACGTGTCTGTTAGTCACTGTTTCTACTTGTGTTCCCCCAGAATGATTAAGGATTCTCTTGGCTCGGTGACTGCTTGGAGTAAAGGAACCGCTAGATAAGCGAGGAGGTAGCTGCTTCAGAACTGCAGACGTGTAATCTGTGTTGCAGGGTACACACACAAAGCCAAGTTTGTGCCTCACATTGCTGAATAGATTCGAGGAGGAAGGTAGAAAAAATAGTTTATTATTAGAAAGCTCCTAAAATTAGGAGGTGGTTGAAGGCAGGTTGCCACAGAGACAGTCTAAGGTTTTAATACAAGAAATACAAGAAAATGACCACATCTCAGAGCACTCTGCACCAGGCTGAGGTCAACCTATGGGGTTATACACAGTTCCACTAGAGGTGGGGTCTACAGAAATTCAGCCCTGGCCATTGTGTCTCCACCGTAGGGCCTTGTTCTTCTCAGCCCTTGGTCTCAAGCTTCATCTCTTCTTGACCTCTCCTGGGTCATCCCAGTGCCATCTTGGGCCTACCTTGTCCCTAACTGCCTGCCCTGCCTACTACAAATTCCGTCCTCTGGAGAGGTGTCCCCCAGTGCTGTTAGGGGAAAATGGGCGATGATCACTCTAGCATCTTCCTGCTGGATGGGGCTGGTGCAATAGTTGGCAGTCAGGGACACTCCCCAGAGGGTCTGTCTAAAGGCCCTAGGTGGCATCAGGTATCCTTCTTTCTGGTGGACAAACAGCCTTGAGTCTGGAAGAGACTGAGCAATTTTGAGTGTGCACAGCCCAAATAGCAGTCCCAAGAGAATAATAATCCAGACAACCAAATGTTTCTTCTCACCAGTGTGAGCCAGGAATGGCTTCTCATAGAGAAGTCATCCAGGGACCCTCGAGGATTGACGGGACACTTACCTGATGAAGATCTTAGAGGGCTGAAGACTCACTGCTCAAAGTCAGGAATATATATAAGCACAACACTCACCTTTTTTTTGGTACTGGGGATCGAGCTCACAAAACTCACTTTTGATCGCATGGGTCCTACCCTGTGTTGTTGTCAGGATATCTGGGACCATCTAGTTCTGTAAGGCAACCATTCTCATCAATTTGACTTCAGTGTTCAAAAGAGAAATTCCCTTGAGTCATTTAGGGTTTGCTTGGCATATAGTAGTTGGCTAATGTCTCTATAATCACACCAGTGAAATATACTTTGAGACCATTGGTGTCGATGGGGTAGATTAGATTGGGCAATTCCTTAACCCATCTTCTTTGCAGGCAGGCAAGTCTTTCAGTACATCTCCCTACCCACCCAGGGGATGGCCAGGGCCACAAAGTAGTCCTGCAGAGCCCATGGGCACCTTTAAGAGTGCTGCATCAAATGCAGGGTGGTTGGGCCAGGGATTTAGCTCAGTGGTTCTGCCACCTGCTTCACAAGCACAAGATCCTGAGTTCAATTCGCGGTACCAAAAACAAACAAACAAATTCAGGGCTGTTAATTCAACCTACTGCAAGTCAATTGTTGCATGTATCTACTGACCATGGGGAGCCCATCCCCTATTCAGTGACATTGAACCAGTGTGAGTGGGGTTCCCAAGATAAGAAGGTCCTTTGGCTAAGGCATCCGTCCCACAGTGGCAGTTAACTACATTTACTGGAAGTAGCCATCTTGATAGCTTTGGTTGTTAGATCTAATAGAACTTTGATGTTAACATGGACAACAGGTTTAGTCAGTGCCCACCTGGAGGTGTGCTTTCTAGAGGTTTCAAAGGTGTTTGGGGCTGTGAAGACTGGACTGTACAGGCCATTTAGCTACCTTAGATCCATATACTACCTGTCAAACACAAGGTTTTCACATTTGATGAAATCCTGTAGCTTGTTCCACTCACTGCTCTGGAAGGATGCCCACCAGGGGAGCCCTGAGAAAAGTGAAGCCACCTGAAAACCTAGCATGTTTCTTGCCATATCGACTTTGCATATTTCTGGGCCCAAACCAACAACGAATTTGACTCCTTTCTCTAAGTGTGATCATGAAAACAGTAAGAGGTAGCATGTTAAAGTTTTTAATCTGGAGATGTAGGTTTTTTCTTCTGAACAAGAGATTTAAATCTTCTACCAGCTCACAAGAATATTCAGGCGGTGGGTCACAGATGGGTGCCCAGATCCCAAGATTTGAGTTGGGAATGGTGTACCCAGGAATCCAAGCCAGCTACCTTGACAGCCAAGGCAGCTGTGATATGAGAATCACCTAGTCTTTCCCAAGTTGGCCCTAAGCAGATGAGGAAGATTTTACCGGCACCGAGTCTCCAGGGTACAATACCAGATGTGCGAGCTCGCTGGGTTAAGTTTCCATTCATTGCTGCAGAATTTGTTGAAATTTTGCAAATGAACTGATGTCTTTAGTCCAATCATATTTTTTTTCCATACCAGGGGTCGAACTTGGGACCTTGTGTTTGTACAGCAGGCGGCAGAACCACTGAGCTAAATCCTCGGCCCCCAATCATGTTTTTGTTTTGTTTTATTTTTAAATCAATAAGAAAACTCTTTAGTTAAAAATGGTCACCTGTAAAGCATTTGGAAAGCCCTGAGCCCCAATGTCTGGGGTGTGTTTCTTATCTGGTTGAGAGTACTTTGGCCTGGTCTAAGGACACGTCCAGAACCTAGGGGCTTGAGCAGCATTTTCCATAGCTGGATATACCCATCAGTTGCCCTGTAACACCTCATCCAAACCTTTCTTGTGCCTCTGCAATGTGTTACCGCCATTTTTTGAAGGCAGGTAAACAGATCAGGAGTTTCTCCTCTATGGAATTTTATGGGAGACCCACAGGCTTTAAAAGAGTACCTTTCTTTTCATATTTTTACACTGTCAGGGCTATAAGTTCTGCTGAGCATTTGTTCCAGGGGTGGGTGAGCAGCTCCCAAGTTACTACAGCATATCCTGCTGCCCTTTTTATATAAGAACTGCCATCACAGGGGCAACCCACTTTCTGGTCCCCTTTCTGTCTCTCTTAGACAGAGCTACCTTTCTCTCAATAAATTGTTCCTACTCTTAAAAAAAAAAAAGAAAGAAAGAAAGAAATACCATTACAGAAGACAGTAAGCACTCCCAAGACCATTCCCCAACTCTCAACATACAGATTAAGCTCAGTAGCACTGTGCCTGCCTCACAAGCACAAAGTCCTGAGTTCCATTCCCGGCACCAAAAAACACATATAGATTAAAATGGAGTCCAGCCAGGTGTGTTGGCACACACCTCAGGAGGGAGAGGCAGGAGGACCACTGCAAGTTCAAGACCAGCTTGGGCTACATAGTTTGAGACCAGCCTGAACTACATATTGAGACCCTGTCTGAAAAAAAGAGTCCAGGACCAGGGATTTAGCTCAGTGATTCCACTGCCTGCCTGGTAAATGCATGGTCCGAGTTCTATTCCCAGTACAAAAAAAACAAAAAATAAAAACAGAGTTCCAGTTGGGAGACTGAGACCTGGGGTATTTAAGTATTTAAACTTTGGACAATAGTTGGGAGGCAAATTAAAATATGGGTGTTTACCCTTTGGGTTTCTTTTCTTAGTAGATAAAGAGGTCATTGGGCCAGGGATTTAGCTCAGTGGTGCTGCAGCCTGCCTCGCAAGCAACAAGTCCAGAGTTTGATCCCCAGTACCAAAAAAAAAAAAAAAAAAGTTATGTTATCTTGCCACATTGTGCTACCCAAGGCCTCTTAGCTCTTTTTAGGGTCTTGGGCTGTGGAAAGGGGAGTACAGGTTTAATTTTTCCCTCCTAGTCTTCCAGTTCCTTTGGATATGGTAAGGTCCAAATAAGTCCAGACTTCAGTGCTGCAAAGTTGTGTCTTAGCCCTGGAGACTTTGTACCCTCTCTATGTCTCAGAAATTTAGCAGGGGCCAGGCACCTGGACCAGAAAATTTTTCTCAGGGGGTGCATAGCAGAATATCATCGACATATTATAACGTTAATTTGAGAGAATTTCAAGCAGGCCAAGTTATAGGAAAGCACTTGTCCAAAAAGGTGAGACAATACAGTGAGTTGGGAGATCATGTGGATTTTCAAAGGAAAATAAAATGAGTTAGGGTGCAGAGAATACAGAAAAAGATCTCTTCAGGGACCTGGTAAAGGATACAGATTAGGCACTATAAGGTATAGGGGTACCTCTGTCCCATTTATTGATCAGAGATGCTCACTAGTTTCCATTCTCCACTGGGTTTTTGTATTCCTAATATTAGTGTGTTCTAAGGACCGTAGCAGGAAGTAAGCAGACCTTGTACCTCTAAGTTATTAACTATGGTCCTTTTTTATCTTCTTCTTCTTTTGAGTTTATTGATACATTTTACTCATATAGTACAGTTACATTCATTACTGGGATCTTGTACCTTTACATGACAGGTGGTCTTGGTTCTCCTTTTTTCCCCTTGTCCCTGCCCTCTCTTTTTCTTTTTTCTTTTTTTTTTTTTTACTAGTAGGGATTGAACTCAAAGCCTTGTACTTGCAAGGCAGGCAATGGTGCCACTGAGCTAAATCCCCAGCCCCTGTGGTCCCATTTTAGTCTCTGACCTCAGAGAGTATTGTCTCTGATGAGGAAAAATTGTGGGGTCCCTAATGTGCATCTGCACAGAAGTACTCTTTACTGCCTCCCCCCATTTCTGGTACCAGGGATTGAACTCAAGTCCTTGCGCTTGCAAGGCAGGCTCCAGAACCACCGAGCTAAATCCCCGGCCCTGCCTTTTTTGTTTTACTTTGATTTGCCCATTAACTCCAAGCTAATTTCCATCTCTGCTAGAAAGACAACATGCCTTGTGTTTGGGTGCATAAACCATAGCATTTAGGCAAGGTAAAATCTCAAGAGGGGAATTGGACCTTTTAGGCATGACCAGAAAGGCATGTGAAAATAGAAACCCATCCCAATTATAGATGGGAGATTGAGAAAAAGATTGGACAAGGGGAAAAGAAGTCTTCCTGTAATGCTTTTTACCATCGTGTGGCTGTATGAAAGCAGGCCAGGGTTAAAGAGAACAACTGAGAACATGGCTCCAATATCCAGCAAGAGGCTAGTTTTCTTTCCCTGAATAGTAAAAATCACCTGGAGCTCTTCTGAGTCCAGCTGAAGAGAGACACAGATGCGTGCCCCAGGGCCTTAGTCCTGCCCCCAGACCTTCGCCTTGGGGGCAGTGTGACTACCAGTGATCACTGCACTCAGGGCAGGGCTTAGTGGGCTTCTTACCGCTGTGAGTTTGGTCACAATCTCTCTTAAAATGCCCTGGCTTCCCACAACCATAACAAACGCGGACCACAGACAAGTAGCCACTTTTGGAGCCCCTGGAATTTGACACGAATTTAGCCTTCTGCAGGGCCCCCGCAAGGGCAGCTGCCTTTTTCTTATCCCTTTGTTTTCTCTGCTTGGCCTCCTCCAGGCACGGTTATAGAAGACAGAAGATGCTAACCTTTCCAGAGCGTCAAGAGAGCTATCTGGGTCGAAGGCCATTTTCTTGAAGCTTCCTTCGGATATCAGAGGCTGACTGAGTGATGAATTTATCTTCAAGAATACCCTGACCCTCTGCTGACTCTGGTGACAAAGATGTGTACTTACTTACAGCCTCCTGTAGTTGGTCTAAAAAGGCCCAGGGATCTTTGTCCTTCCCTTGGCTGACAGTTGACAACTTAGAATAGTTTACAAGTTTAGACCTAGCTCTCCTCAGGTCCTGAAGAACACAAGTTAAAAAGGGTCTTCTGTTCTGTGCCCCGCTGTGGTATTGGGGTCCCAGTGGGGATCCCGTAATGGGACTGCCTGAGCTCCTATGGGGAATGGCTGTTCTCCTGACCCTAACTCCTGTGGTCCTTTGGAATGGATTAGATGTGTCTCGTCCCCAAAGCCCCTTAATTCTCACTAGGGGTCAGGGTCAGGTTTAAAAATAACCACATCTTCCCAAGCTAAGTAAAAAGACTGAGTAAGTCCTGTAAAAACTTCGAGGATCATCTGAAAATTTCCCTAAGTCTTGTTTTATTTTTTTATCTTTTCTTGTTTTATTTGTTTAAGATTGCAGAGGGAAAATGACATATGTATCCATGTAGAGAGTATGAATCTTTTTTTTTTTTTTTTTGTATAGGGGATCAAACTAAGGTCCTTTTGCTTGATGAGGCAGGTGGCAGAACCACTGAACTAAATCCCTGGCCTGAGCCTACTGAATCTGGAGTGGCTTAGGGGCTTCAGGGCATGGAGGGCAGAGGGGAGGAGCTTCAGACCCAGCCTTGGTGGAGATATCAGATCTGCTGGTTACAACCATCTGATTTTCTTTTGGATCACACCCACACTTGGAGCGTAAGTCAGGGTTATCTCTCAGAGCAAAGAAGACTTGAACATAAGCGACCGCTGATCATTTCCCTTCTCTTTTACAAAATAATTCCAATTGAAGGATAGTTTTTTGTGTGTTTTTTGTGTTTTTTTTACTGGGGATTGAATTCTTGGGTCCTTGCACTTGCGAGGCAGGCAGCAGAACCACTGAGCTAAATCCCTGGCCCCCAAATAAAGCATAATGGCATAATCGGTACTTCCCTGAGGTGTTCATCATTTCTTACCCAAAGGGTACTTGGGCCATGCACGGGTGCAAAAAAGACTAAACAACATTTCCTTAAACCTTGGGGATCAAGAATACATTTCAAGCTGAGGATTTAGCTCAGTGGTTCCACTGCCTGCCTCACAAGTGCAAGGTCCCAAGTTCAATCCCTGGTACCAAAAAAAAAAAAAACCCATTTCAAGGCAGTAATGGAATCTAAGGGTGACTTCAAGTTTCCCACCCAGCAAGATAATAAGGGGAGAGAAGGTGTTCCTTTTAGACCCTCTTATGTTCTTAGTGCTAGGATGCCCCCAAATCCCCCATTCCAGGGTAAGCGGCTGCTGCCTCAAGAGTGACCGGAAGGTGGGTGGATATCATGCTTCCTTGTGATCCAAACAGCCATCTCTTTCTTTTGGCCCAATTCCAATCAGCCTGTCTCTGGAGGGAAAACAAATTCACTGGCAGTGACCGTGACACGTTCTGGGACAGAAATCATTGCCAGAGTGGGACAACTTCCTGGTGACCAGGGGTAAACTGCAAATAACCTCTGTAGTTCCCACTTTTGCCTGTTTTTTTTCCATCAAATCTCAGAAGGGCTCTGGGGCTCAAAGCCTAATTCATCAATGAAATCCTAAGGGTTAGAACTCCCCAAGTAGTGGCCCCATTGAGAAAGGCCAACGGCTCTGCAATATGGTCTGGTTTTTCTCTTCAGAAGCCTGCGCGTGATCTGTAATTTACGGAATGATTCCACGGGATTAAGAGATGTGTAAAGGCTTCTTCCTTTGGCGGGCATTCTGACTCCTATTCGCTCACAAAAGGAATTGGGAGCCTGACTAAACCTACTTGATTCCTCACGTTTTTCCATTGGTCTTTCTTCACAGGCAATCCAACTACAGGGCTCATGAATTTAGCAAGGGTGAATCTGTTCTTGGGTATAGTCTTTCTAGGAAGCAAGGTAGAGGAGTATTCCAGACAAACACATGGAAGAACGCATGTTATTTAAATTTAAAATTTAGTCAGGGCCAGGGATTTTGCTCAGTGGTTCTACCGCCTGCCTTGCAAGCGCAAGGATCTGAGTTTGATCCCCGGTACCAATAAATAAATAAATAAAATTTAGTCAGATAAAGCAAAAGCTTCTTGCCTCACTCTTTCTCCTTCAGGTTTTAAGATAGGCTCAATTACTCATATTTGTCTGCTCCCACTGACCAAATCAAAGGAGGCTGTATAGCTTGGTAAAAAGGGAAAAAAGGGTTTAGTAAAAGTTAGCACTGGCGGGGATTTGACTCAATGGTTCTACTGCCTGCCTTGTAGGTGCAAGGTCCCTAGTTTGATCCCCCATACAGAGAGAGAGAGAGA